CCTTACACAGTCTGACATGGTCGTGAACTATTGGAAACATTTGCGGAATGAACCGCGACTCATTTAAAAGCTCAATCGGCTTGTGAGACATTCCTAATGTTTTTAGCATAAGATTGCACATACTTTAATGAAGATGGTCAACTAATTGCTTCTATGAAAGATCAGAAAGAACAAGACATATGTGTAGTTTTTATCGTGAGAAATTTTGCTCTAATGATTTGCTCAAAGGTCTCTGAGAGTAAATTATTTTAATTGGGCTTAGTTAGCAAGGCAAAGAGAGGCCGCGGGGCGAGCATATGGAAGTAAACTATGTCTGCGCACAGTAACCCGAGCACGTCTGTCCGTCCGTCTGTCACGTTGCATAACTGTAGAGCTTACGTGACACGGAATTATTATATATATTTCGCTGCGCCTCCGCGCGCGGCTTCGCTCGTTCTTTTGCAATATTAAGCGCGTGAGTACACATATTAATAATGAATAAAAGTTTTGAACAGTTAAATTCTTGTTGTAACTTTAGCTGTGAACTTAACAGATTTATTTTTTTGTTTTAATAATGATTTTGTATATGACACTCATTATATATGATTAATTTTCCATCGTAACACATTCCGTGGCGTTTGTAATTTTCCTTTACGAGACAACCTTGGGCTTCAATGACTACCATTCTAATTGATACGAGTTTTTGTCAGAGCTTAGTTAGTCGTGTTGTTTATTAATTATTATAAAACATTACAATTATTCGACAGCCAAGAAACTTGATAGCTATAATATTCAGGAGAGACGTGTAGCAGATGTTGATAGAATTAAGTTAGTCTAACATTTAGTTTTAATCTTTTTAAAAATCTTTGCATATATTTAAAACTCCATATGAAATAGCATCACGACAGGCAGCCGAGCGGAGTGTCTGCAGGCGTGCGTTCTCAGGAGAGAAAGCTGACGACAATTGTTTAACATTGTTAAGTAAATGTTATAAATATGATGAGTTGAAAACTGTAGAATTAAAGCAAAACGCATAGAGTAGAATAGTCGAAATGCGGGGTGAAAGAATCGTTGTGGGTGAACTATCCACAAGATAGACCTGATCTGGTCAAAATGGGGTGAATATTAATTTGTGAAGATTCAATAAAAGCAGTTGTAGCGAAGAAGAATGGATGAATATATTTATACAATTACGAATGTCAAGATGGAAATTTGTACTATACATTTTAGAAATGTATTTACGTAAAATTATGACTTAAGTAGTGTAGAGCCACAGTTTCACATACTTTTGGTTTTTGTTAACCCCTTTTTGGGTGTTGGTCGTGTCATTTGGATTCAAACCCGTAATCCACGTATTAAGGTGCTATGTGCGTTGGGCACGCGGGGCAAACGCGGGGTAAGCACGGCCGTAGTGAAAGTACGCGACAGAGCGTAGCGCGCTCGTTCCCAACGTTGCACGTCATACGGTTTTTATAGCACGACATATTAACAACTTTACACGTTTGTTTTTTTAATGACTATTCATTAATACGTTTTTCTTACGTACTACCGATTGTTAAAGTATTTTGATTTATTATAAATTGATACAGTTTTAATTTTGTTTTGTTTACATATTTAAGAAATATGTATTAGTATTCATGCCTATTTGTTTCTTTACGATTTCTTCATTTTATAGTCATCAACCATAAAGGACTCTTTAGTAAGTTGATTCTATTAAAGTAAACTTCATTATCCTTCCTTCTTAGTTGAAAAAAAACCTGCTGCTTTTGCTCACTCGAGAATATCAAATAAATAATTATTTAAGTATGTGTTATTATTTCATAATACTTATTCAGTATGTTTAAGGATTCAGATTTTTACTACCAAAATTAACATAAATTCGATCTAATTTAATGTAATTTTGACGTATTGTGTACAATGGAGACGTATCCCCGATATAAACGTTTGTTATTGGAGTGGAGCTAAGCAATTCTAATTCATTGTAAGCTCGAGTTCTTACTAATAGCAGATTACAAAACGATACGACATCGAGCTCTCCATAAATAACATTACACTACATTGCACAACTAATTGTAACAAACATTTTTGTAACTAGCTGTTGCCTACGACGTCGTTCGCTTTTAAATAAAAAAGAAATATGAGTAACCTTGCTTTTTTATAGATTGTATTTCATCTATGCTCTATATCAATGTACATGTAAGTCAGTTCAGCCGCTCTGCAGTGACATGGTAATATATACAATGTCCTGATAACATACCAAAATTATTTGATATTGTTTGTTTAATTCAGTGTGTGAGACAAACTATGTTTTGCATTTGTTTATTATACGCGTAGCCTAGTTATTAACAAAAACAATTGTTGACTTCTATCTTAGAAAACTATAAAAGACAACAGATTATTATAAATAAAAATATTAACTGTATAGGAAAAATATTAAATGTTTGTATTTCGATTAAAACAAATAAATGAATTAATAATTTAATGTCAAGTCACTAATGCTCGTCTCTAACAGCTTTAAAACTAGTAGTAATTTTAGTAGTAATAGGTATCTAGTACTTCCTAAAATTAGTAATAAAGATCTTACTATGTTTTGATAAACTTGTAGCATAATTTATGAATTTAATATAAGTAAGGCTTTTTATATACATACGGTTACTAAAGCGATGTGTCGTAATACTTGTATTCCAAGAATATTTCCATCTCAATCTCTCTCATTAGATAAACAGAGATAGCAATAGTTTTCTTGTAAATGCGGTAGGACAGTTATTATTAGTTAAGAACATTAGAAAATTTCCGTAGTGTGTTGGGCGACGCTAACAATATGTATGGTAAAAGGACCTCGCAAGGTGAACGACCGCTGCGTATGAAGTTGTATGGACTTCAACAATATTCTGATGCACTTCCTACATACAAATACAATGAATATTATATTAATTTAAAGTGACTCTCTTATGAATAAGATATGATATTGTACATACAAATGTTTTTTTTTTTGTTTTTGTTTATCTGTACTTCATAATTGTTAAGGCCAAAAAATTTTGTAATTAAGTAAAGAAACACAATAGTAAGTTATGAACTCAGTATTGTAATTTAGTACAAGGAGATCTGCAGAAAAGAGTTTGTAGATGTTGTTTAGTTCATCAAGTATCTTGAAATATTTATAACAAGGAAGCAGTTATTCGATAACGAGTCTATCGTTTAACATTCAAATAACCGCTAACAAACATCAATCAGCAACATTTCCTGTTCGTACTTTACATAAGCAACTAAAATACCAATTGCGATATTTATGCAACAATCGAAATCACCAAAATAAAATGGAAACTAACAATGACGCTTCAAGTTAACATTGTACTGATCGATTCAGTTCCGTCACTAAACAATTTGTTAAACAAAAGCATCACAATTTGATTTCAAAATTCTAGTCGCGTCAATGTTACTCAAGACCCAGTGACAGTCGCCGCTAACAACGGCTTTTGGTCGAACATTAGAATTTTAGATCGTCATTAAAGTATTATTTGAAATAAACATTTTACAGTTATATTTAAACAAACGAGAGTTCAACAGTTAAAGAAGCAATTCATATCGTTCTTTTGATATATGGCTGTAAAATATTTACTTCTTACTAATATTATAAATGCGAATGTTTGGAGAAATGTATGTTTGTTTGGAGGTATTACCCGAACAGCTGAACGGATCTTAATGAAATTTGGGATATATATAGATCATAGTCCGGAAGAACATATAGGCTACTGATTATGTTTTTTCAAATCCGCGCAGACGGAGTCGCTGGCGACCGCTAGTCTGTTATAAAAACAAATAAAAATGGATAATTTTCATGCGCAATTTTCCATAAAGTGAACTTTGTTTAGGTCAAATAGCTTTCTAAATTTAGTAGTCGTCATTTAAGTATTATATTTATTTATAGATGTTTTGTTTATACTTTTCATATTTATTACGCAGTCCCTTTTAGTAAAAAAGGTATTCAAATAAGTTTTGTTTTTAATACGACAAGTTTAACTCGCTTCACCAGTACTCTAGGTATGTAGCGATTTCCATTACGATCGTAAATAAAGACGTGGCCTTTAAAATAACTTATTCTAGAAGCTTGAATACAGAAAAATGCTAGTTTTACTCAATTTATTGCAAATTTATGTATGTTTGCGTCGTGTGGGAACAATGCAAGGCCTCCCTCTGTTCACTATTACTGTGTACTTGTGCGTTATATCGAGTATATACACAGTTTAAAAACTAACTAGGGACACAATAAACTGTCGAAATAAATATATAGCGTAGAATTAGTAAATCACGTGCACTATAAATTTTTCATATTGGCTTAACCCTAAATGCGACGAAATTTTTTGTAGCGAAAAAATTGTTTTTGTAGTAAAGTCATACTTACGTAATTTTCTCTAAACTAGTTCAGAAGATTTTTTTTATTAGTTGTTCATCTGGACACCATCGAATTAAGGGTTATTTTATTTTTCTACAGAGAAAAAGAACGATTACACTATGTTTACTGTTTACAGTTTTACGGTGACATAGGAATATATGATTTAGTAAGATTTGAATGCGCCGGTTTTATATTATTTCACGGACACGAAGCCGTGAGCATTTTCCACACATGTTGTCCGGCGTCCGGTGTCCGGTGTACATCTCCCGCACTCGGATGCTTATCTTAAAATAATTGTATTTATTCAACAACGTTTCGTATAACTGAATATACATGAAACTTTCTAATTGTTTTGAAGATTTTAAATCTTGTTATGTGTTTATGTAAAAATATATTTTAATAAGCAAGCGTTATAGTTACACTTGTTATTTTACTATTATTAAAAACTTATAAATTTCCCTTAGATGTAAGAATTTGTAAAAGAAAATAACTTAATAAATAAAAAAATATATTATCTTATTTATTCTGTAACTTTTCTATCAATAATTATTACGTAAATTAAGGTGAACAAATGTTTATTTGTTTATTAGTAATTTTGATATAAAAATCATGTTTTATATTGTTGCAGGTCACACTGGCAGAATGAAACGCTCTCGACACAGATGGCTGGGACTCAGCTTGTTTTGTAAGTTAATTCTATTCCCATTACCGAAACACAACTCACAAAAACACTACATTTTGTTTATTCAACCTAGAATTCTTTGAGAAATAATATAGGACCACTAAGATTTTCTAAGGCGTCTCTCAGGTATACTTAGGTAGGAAGACTTGAAAAACAACTAAGGGTAAATAGAGGCTAGATGTGTAAGTAATAAAGGAGCAGTCTAAAGTAATTGACTACAAATATAAACATCCTTAACTGTTAGTTCACACGATTGAAATGTTCTCATCAAAAACCGTTTGATACATACTGAGATCATAACATGGATTTTGCTGTAAAAAGCAACATAGGGTTGTAATTACTAAATTTATACTTTTATTACATTTCTCTTAGGTTTAAGTTATCAAAACAGTTCTTATATTAAATTAAACTATATAACATGTGTGAATATTCAAATTAAATCTTTTTATGATATCTCTATACTTTATTACTTACAAATAGGAAGAATACTGGTATTTAGCAAAGAGGTCGCCAAGGCAATTGGCCAAGAACACGACACTAACCAACCTTGAAACTAGTTATAAAAAACTCATATTTTCTGTTAATATCACTTTGATGGAAACTCATTTATAATTTATCAAAATATCACCTCTGATTTTTGTATAATTAATTATTAATATGAATCATAATTTCATTGACAGTGACCAGTCTAACTTGTCCTATAGAATAAACAGTTTTAACAAGATTTCCAAGTGTAAGATGTCTAAAATATCTCAGTTGAATGTAATTTTTGTGATTGATGAATGGATTCCTCTTAAAATACTTTTGTCTAACTATAGATCGTGGTATTTTGTGCCTATATGATTGTAAGGAAAGTTAACAGGCGCGTTTATATTTAAACGAAGACATTTCCATGCAATGTACTAATGCGCTTAGCTTATTCAAACGTTATATTTTTTTATCACTTTAGAACCTAATTCAATAAGCACATAATATGTGTGAAGGATATATATTACTAGTTTTCGCAACGAGTTCATCAGAAACGGGAAGCTGAGTTTTATTGGTCATGCTCTGTTAAATAACGATCGTATTCAGATTTATTACATTCATCTAATATAGATTTTAAATGAAGCCATCAAGTTTTATTCTAATTTAAATAAGTAAAAAATTTCATAGTATTTCCTGGTTTTTTATAGCAAAAACTAGAATTCGCCAAACCACAAATTGTCGCATTTGCAGATGCGTTGCCTTTAATCGACATAGGAGTACAGATAGTGAATATTTCCTTTTCTTATGTATTCCTCTGCCGAATCCACCTCTCCTTTCGATCCCTTTCTTATATGAAAAGAGTGTAAACTGGAAGTGGACTTAATTAGTTTTTCGTTATAAGCCTCGCTGTAAACGTTTGCTCGAACAAACCATTCAAGCTAAGTTTTTATTTAAATTGACATTGATCATTTAATTGTTATTAATTCGGTTTCGATTCGCATTCACTGCTTATAGGATTCAGGAGTCTAGTACAAGTCTACGAAAAGTAGACACAATGTTTTAATGTAGTGTTTTAGTATTGACTTGTGTAAGCCTCCGTGGCGCAATGGTTAGCGCGTTCGGCTGTTAACCGAAAGGTTGGTGGTTCGAGCCCACCCGGGGGCGGATATTGTTTTGCCTCTGACGTTCATAACCAGACTAGAAAATATTTTGCCTGCATAAATATATACTGCTGTCTCTGTTTTTCATAAACAGAATGAAAGATATGACAATGTACTTTCTTATAAGTGTTAAGGAAAATCAAGACGTTTTTTCAAACTAAAATTGAACTAGAATTTCGTAATAACTATTGGAAGATTTGTTTTAATGAATGTGATGCACGAATCCACAAAAGTCAAGGATATAGAATGGCGTAACATTTCACGTTCGCTTCAAATCCTCTTGAATTCTGAAGCCGATAAATAAACTTATTATAAAGTCGAGAATTGACTATAAAATAAGCAATAAAAGCGATGGAGTTCAAGAGAAGACGATCGATAACCAAAAGGTTAAGGATGGAATAGATTTTAACACCTTATTATTTGGAATACAAACTCTTTTGTATAAATTTACACTCACAAATATACCTTGGGGCATTTAAGTTAATGGTACTTAAAAAACCTAAACGAATCTAAGTCTACAAATGTCAAGATTCAATGATTTTGAATGATAAATATATGTTAAAAACCATTAATAATCATGTACATGTTTTATGACATATTAAAGCATATGTTTTAGTAATAAATGATTAATTTGACCTTATTTTTTTCCACTCTTTTATAAATATTTTAATTTAAAATATTTGTACCTCTTTCTTGCTTCCTTGAAAAAACATCGTCAAAAAAGTTGTGTTTCCTTGCTTGCAGGTATAAAAATGTTAACTATAGTTTTTAACTTAAATACGAAAGGTCACAAAATTTCTTGTAGCCTTTATAATATCGTAATATGGCGAAGTAAAAAATGTTTGATGATATCATTGAAGAAATACAATATTTTATTATAATGTAACTTATTTATCATAGAAAAATAATTATTTAAAAGTAAAATGTTGAAAGCCATGAAATTAAATGATAAAACGTGACAGATCGTGAGGCTGTATCATTATATTAATTTGCTTTCTTACTTTTTGTCTTGTAGATTTAGTGGCCATTGCACACAACCCATTCTGAGTTCCATTAGGAATAATGTACACAGATTTGAGACAATTATACTCGTACCATTTAGAATTACTCAAATAATGTATGTAAATCTATATCTAATACTAAGTCATAAAACCTGTTTCATACACATAAACATATAAAAAAACCAAAGCTCCTTAATTAACTTATTTTCATACTTTCATTCCGTACTTATTCCGCAATGCCAAGACATACTGACCTTTCAATTACGAGACGGGAGCTACACACTGCTGAACATCTTCATATCGTCATCTGGATTAATTTCTAATATTTACTTTTAGGTGTGTTAATGTTGGTGGTGTCAGTTGAGGTGCCGGGCGCGCGTGCAGTGCGCGCCACCTCACTCATCTTCGCCAAGACTTCCAGCACGACCAGCGCACCAGAAGACACCTCGGAGACAGAAGATGATGCAATGGTAATGTATTGCTTGTAGTAAGATAATTGATAAGTTTCTTGTGGCATCTACATTTGTTAGAACCACAACAGTTTCTTATACATAACTAGAAATGAACAAGATCGATCGACGCTATTAAATATCTCATTCTACAAAGACTATTCAGACGTACAGTTCTATTAATAAAGTTCATCTAATTAATAATCACAGCATTACAAGAATATGTATAATACAAGTACGCCATATTTCATGCAGGAAACTATACCGTAGGTTCTCAGCTGGCACACAAGGTGACTTACTTTCCATTCCATACAACACGTCGAATGCTTCGCGTGCCGATCCTATATTAAAAAGCCTCATGAACTCACATCCAAGGCTCAGATAAATAAGGCCATTATGTTTATATTAGTTTTTTTCTGTACGGAAATCTGTCCTGACCGTTTTTGGTAGCAAAGATACTTTCCGGATTGCTTATGCAAATGAGATTCTTGTAGAACCAACATAAATTGATAATTTATAGTACATAACGTGAACATATTCATTATAAGGTTCTTTGGCAAAGATTTAAATAACTATTAGTCTCATAGACTAAATTATGCTAAATATTATATGAAATTAACTATAACTTTGAACTAACATACATTTACAGACAGAGACGACTGCAGAGGGCGCTGAGGGCGCGGAGGCTCAGAACGCGACAAAGAAGTTGTCCGGTATCCCTCAGATAGACTACATCTACGACCCTAACCTCCCCCGAGAACTCAATGGATACAATCTCTCAGAATATCCCTTCTATGAAGCAGTGCCTCCGCCTGAGACCATGGACTTCAAATGTGATGGACTGCATGACGGATTCTATGCTTCAGTACCTCACAAATGTCAGGTATGTTTTAAGACGTTCCATGTAGCAACTTATTACGGAAATCATTGTGATGATGATTTACATTTTAATTCCTTTTTTCTTTTTTTTTTTATATGATGCAATTTATTTGTTTTTAGTTATTTGTCCACTTCACAGTAAACTGAGTTCTCTTTTTGTTGTATTCAAGTTTACGTTGGTACTTAAGTTTGTTTTGTTGTGATATTAGGTGTACCACCATTGCCTGTTCGGTACGCGGTACGACTTTCTGTGCGCAAACTACACAGCCTTCGATCAAAAGACCTTCATCTGTCATTTCGTCTCCGAGGTCGATTGCAAGAACTCCCCCAACTACTTTAACAGGTACCTTTACACTTAAACTGTGCACTTATAAATATTTATTAAACCACAAGATCCATTGGATTCTATCAAGGTATTTTAAATTTTGCATGTATCGTCTCTGCATATCAAAATAATACAATCTTACACAGGAACGAGGCTCTGTATAAAGCGGCAACAACAGCGGCGCCCCCACCTCCGCCGACCACGACTACGACCAGCACGACCACAGCCCCCCCGCGCCCGCAGCGCCCTCCGCGACGCCGTCGTCCCAGCTACCGATACGATTACTATGACGATGAGTACTACTACCCCGCCAGAGACGACTACGACTACGGCTACGAAGAACGGTAAGAGATCACCGACATAATTAATGAAGAATTAACAAAATGTCAAACGTAATTTAATAAAACTGACCTTTTTTTACCCAAAAGTACTCAAAAAGCAACAGTTTAATAATTTAATAATTTTTCCAAATAACTGATTAAAAAAGAAATTTTATTTAATGAGTTGAATGAAATTTCAGAGGTGGCAGAACACGTAGACCGCAAGGGAGACCAGCAAGACCAGCTAAAAGAAGGCCATATGACGACTATGATGAGAAGTAAGTACGACCTACTGATAAATGATAGCAACACGATCATAGCTTAAAATAGCTGATATAATATTGTTATTGAATAACAATTCTTTATATAATTTTTTTTGTTTTCAGATATGAACCCAGACCTAGACCAAGGGATGAAAGTGAAGACTACGCTGAAGAAAGAAGACCGTACGACAGAAGACCTGGGAAAAGGCCTTACCTAGAAAGAAGGCCTTATGATGATGAAGACAGAATGACAGAGCGGCGTCCTAATTACAAGGGAGGCAGAAGGCCGGGTCGACCGAGAGATACCGAAGAAGATCAGTACAAACCTGTAGACGAGGACAGACCGCGCGCTGCACCACGTGATCAAAAAAGAAATGAATATAGACCTAGAGACAAAAACCGGCCTATTGATGATATGGGCGATAGAGCGCAAGAAGACGAAAGTTCTAGAGATGTGCCTTGGGAAGATAGACCTAGATCTGAGTCGAGGTACCGCAATGAAGGTAGACCAAGAGATGATATTAGACCGCGAGATGAAGCCAAACCCACCGTCGATATCACTTCACCGGATGAGTTACCATCCGGAAGAGGTGATGTTAAGTCCCGAGATGAAAAACGGCCAAGGGATGAAATGTTGCCAAGGGATGAGATCAGACCTAGAGATGAAATTCGACCCCGAGACGAAATACGGCCTCGGGACGAGATCCGTTCACGGGATGAAACAAGACCTAGAGATGTTAGACCCAGAGATGACGTGAGATCTAGAGAAGATAAGAGGCCTAGGGATGAGACTAGATACAGAGATGACATTCGGCCAAGAGATGAAAGAAGACCTTTGAGAGAGGAAGCGGGAAATGAAGATGGTAAAAGAGATAGCATTAAACCAAGAGATCGGTATCAACCAACCGAAGGTAGGCGTCTTTACAACAGAGATGAAAGACCTTACCGAAGAGAAGAAAGACCTGCTTACTTAAAACCTGAAAAAAATAATGAAAGTGAGGATAAAGTACAAGAAGATAAACGTCAACTTCCATCTGCTCCAGAAGGTCAGCCTTTGGTGAAGCCTAACGGTCATGGTATTTTTAGCCAACCGCGTATGCCTCCAAAAATAAAACGCCCAGTACCGGCTACTGAAAAAGACAAATATGATTACGTTCCTATAGCTACTACGAAACCTCCGCCAAAAATAGACGATGAATATTACGATGATTACGAAGAAGAAGTAAGTAAACCGTCATCTTCCGGAAAATCTAGTACAATTCAGCAAAGGCCAAAACCGGAACCAGTTGTTAAAGAAAAATTTAAGCCAACAAGGTCATATTTAACAGCACCGGGCAACCAAAAGGTCCAGAACCAGAAAAGAGTAGAAGATTATGATGAATACGAATACGAACAACCAGCAAAGAAACCCAGTTATTATCAACGCAATAGAGATGAACGACTCGCAAAACCAAACACAAGCGAGGACGACTATTACTATGAAGAGGAAAAACATCCGAGCACTGAGAAAGCTAAATTAAAAGAAGAGGATATTGTAATAAAGATTAAAGAAGTCCGCCCTTCTAACGTCAGAGTTGTTAAACGTCCTTTTTTACCGTCTAGGGGTGGAAGTCCCTATCTGCCGCGTGGCTTGCAACCCGTAGCAGGTAAGGATTTAAACATGCCTCCCAACACCACCCCTAAACCCACTACCACAACTACTACCACGACTACCACGACCACTACAACGACCACTACTACCCCGGCTCCACCTACGACTACTACACCTACAACCACAGAAGCAACTACAACTACAACTGAAAAAGTGACAACAACTTTAGGTACAGAAAAACCAACGCACGAAGAAAACTTTAAGCCCGAAGAAGAATACGAGTATTATGATGAGGAAGATATCGAATACGAAGGACATGACAAAAAGCAACAAGAAATTAAAGAAACAACTACAAGTGAAGTGATAGTAACAAAGCCAACGACGACCACGAGTACAGAGGCCACGACGCCGGCAGACAAGGCAAAGGTCCTCGCCACGAAGGTCCTCAGGGTCTTCAATGATAATTACGAAGCTATAAGGAATAAGTTGCAATCGACATTAGCACCGGCCGACTACCTCAAGCCCTACCTCGCAACGTCCGAGCCAATACCGAACAAGGACGTCAGGTATAAGTCACCGCAGCTAAAACCTGAAATCTCTAAGCCTTACACGGCGACGGGAAAACCTTTGCGAGTGCCGGAGGATTTTTCGATAAAACAAAATCTAGCTGATTCAATAGAAAACGATTACGACGTGGCGCTGAACGAGGCACTGGCCTCCATCCCTCCTAAAGTAAGAGTTCCTAGTGGCTTCGTCGTGTCTCCGGAGAGGGACTACTCTTTTACAAGGTATAGGAACAATTTCAACACAGAACCACAATACGCGGCGTCCGAGTTGAGCACTTTACAAACGAGAAAACGGCCACAAGTACAAGGTGTCAGCATAAGAACTCCCACCACGTTTTACCTGCACCCGCAAAGGGTCAGTTACCATGACGACGGGCTAACGAGGCCGCCGCGACAGCTGGTGTACCGACAGCATCCCACCACCAGTTTCTTCTAAGCATTTCTCACAGGTAACCTTTGAAAGACTCGAATGCAGACGGAACAGATTTTACATACAAACTTTTTACTTTTAAGACAAAGGGTTACATGTTAGATGGAGAAATAAATTATGAAGCTTAAAACGATATAAACATAGTTGATATTAATTATTGAATGATAATTCTCTTTGAACTCAACATTTCCGGACTAGTTGCTAGATATTTATTTAGTGATTAAAAAACTATTATAATTATTATCTTCAATGCAATTATTAGAAGAAAACATCATCACTGCCAATTTATAATACTAGTTAAGGTCAATAAATACTCCTTAGTTACCCTATTTTTAAGAAAATCGTTTTTTCAAAGGTTTCCTGTAGACTTGAACTGTCGGAGAAAAATTACTCGTCCCCCTTGAAAAAAATTACCGTATTTATAACAAAATTATTCAATGACCTTAGGAACCGATTATTGTGAACAAAAATGTCGTCGTAACGTAGACTGCGGCAGGCACTGAGTGATTTTTCACGACAGTTTCGTAAATTTGTAAATTTTATAAATATGAAATCAGTTGATAAGTTTATAATTAATTATAATTGATATTTGTAAGATAATTTTCTAAAATTCATTAAAGAAAACATGAAAATTGTGCTTTGGTATTTTCATTTCGTACTGGAACCAGAAACCACACTTAACCTGATCCTTTGAAAAGATGCAACAAACATTTTTGGTATGAATCTTTACAATGAACTAATTGAATAAGAAAATAAATAAAAACCATATTTGTATATACATATATTTGTTTATTTCATTAAACTTATTAAATAATTCCTGTATACGAGGAAATTATATCATTTAAATATTAAAAGTTGGAAAAAATTGTTATAAAAATTATTAGAAATTCAACAATTGACTGGCATTCATTTTAGGTTTTTTATTGGACATATTTATTATCACAAAAACTAAAAAAATAATGATTTTGAGTTATATATGTAGTTGTATATGTTGCTATTTGAACAACATTATGTTTGTTAAAATGTACAATATTTGCGATCCGCACAAAGCTTACCCGATATTTACAACTTTGGCATCAACATTTGTTAATAAAACTCTTCACGCCATTACAACTTTTATGAAATAAATATAAAATAACGTTTTTATTATCTTTACAAAATACATAAAATTAAGTAAAATAAATCAATCAAAACAAATATTTATATCGTTTGTATAAAAATATTTAGTATTAAAATTGGTCCCTCGTAATCATGATTTATAGATAACTTATATACATATTTTATTTATTATATTTATCCTACATTTATATATTTAATTATTTATAATAAACATATAAAGATATACAGAGAGATAGAATTTATATTTACAAACTATTCCACGTAAAGGCAAGAAATGCCAGCATCCGACCACTTTGGCTTTAACTTGAATATGAAGTTTCTTACTTTGTCGAGTTGTTTTATTGTAAAAGACATTTACAGTAATTACGAAATAATATTTGAATCTCTTTGTTATAATAATATATAGGTATAAGATGGCAAACGAGCTAGCGTGTGTGATGTCGCTAAATTAGCGAAGTGATCTCTGCCTATAGATATATCAGCCTGTTCTATAACATATCACAGTTTAAGTATATTTTTCCTTTTTGTTTCGCGTTAAAATTAGTAAAAGTCCAACATAGTGTATGTCGTTTAAGCAAAGACTTCTTTTGATGTTTTTGCATAAAATGGAATATATTACAATATGACTAAACCTGTATGTACTGCATCAGCTTTAATCCACATTTTGTACTTTTAAAAAATAAATTTAGTTGATAATTTACTTAATAATGTTTATTGCTGTATAATTTATTAAATAATTATTATTTCTAAGCATTCACATGACCAGAAATAAACATAATAATGCTAAAAGTATAGGCCGATACAGTACTGGTTTTTCTTGATAACATTTTTTTAATATTTACAGAAGCTGATGTTTGTAAAGTTGTCATTGCATTGAACTCCGCCCCCAGCAATAAATCCCCACAATTGTCTTAACCCGGAATATTACAAATGTGAGTTTTCGATTTTGCTCCCATTTGATCTATATTTCAAACTCCAAGGATTTTTGGATAGACTAGAAATTTTCGCATCTGTATCCGTTTTATCTTCGTTCATCTCTTTGGTACCATTTATCATTTGTTCGGTGACTTGACCGGTTGCAGCATTGTCCGTCTCCTCAACGTCCCCATGTATCACCCTGTTGATGGGGAACTGAAGGAAGTAGAAGAGGTAGGAGGATCCCCAGATGACCAGCTGATACAGGCACACCTGCCACCACGTCATCACACCGAACACTTTGTACAGCCATCGGTGAGTGAAGAAGTAGATCGCGTAGTACCTGAAATTGGACAAACATGCAAGTGTGGAAACAAGCTCATCGTAGTATTAGTGAAAGGTCTACAATAAAACAATACTAACACAATAGCATAAGCGACATCAACAACTGTGACAGCGATTATTTCAGTCTTGAAGTCCCGGGGCCGGCGGCGCGCCTGGAGCAGCGTTTCGATGAGGACCACGACAGAGATGTTGGTGTGCACGCAGTGGTTGAACCACCACGGCACCACGTCGTCATACGCCCGCGGGAACACCAGCTCGCGGTCCACCGCATACACGCACCAGAACATCGATGATACGAACTGCAAACGACAAGAATATTGTTGAAGCCTAGTTCTATGTAGTCCACTACCACATGATCTCGTCCTTGTAAATCTAAATATCAAATGAAAGCTAAATCATCAGATAACTTGAAAAGAAGCCTCTACATATAAGAGTACTGCTCGATCACTCATTGCCATTTAGAGGTCAAAACATAAATCTAATCCTGTTAAGAGCCCACCACTTCTAAAAAAAAAACTTAAATATAATTTATTGTGATTGTGATACTAATTTGGTATCGTATCATTACCAAAGTAAAAGGCACGACGAGTCCAGAGAAGACGACATCTCTCCAGTAGCGCAGACGCGCCGCCAGTCGGCAGTCCTGCTTGTCCAGCCACTCCAGCACGTCGTGCACCAGCGATAGCAGCAGGAATAACGTCTGGAAGGCCTGCAACAATACACACATACATTGTTAAAAAGATAATTATACGAATACCCCAGGGATGTTTTTATATTATAAGGTAGCAAACGATCATGCGGCATCCTGAATACGCCGAAACAGCGAAGCGATCACTGTCTATAGATATCCGAAATTGCAGATGCTTTGCCTTCCTTTAATCCACTGAGGACACACAGAAAAAGGATAAAATTCCTTTCTACATATGTGTTCCCTCCTCCGCCAAATCCAGTTCACCTTTCCATCCTTTCCACTTATGACCGATAACAATAATTTATATTAAGTATCGTTTATGTAGTAAGCATTTTAAATACATACACAACGAATTTTTCATCGTATGTGACTTAATAAAAATATCTAGATTTCTAACAATTTAATTTAATTCTCAACACTGAATGATACATTGTTTGTAATTAATTTGAAGATTCCAAGTTCTTTTTATAAAATCACCAACCGGCCAGACTGGTTTTAAATGTTCAAGTTATATCGCAGAAGCAGTTCGCACAAAGATAACCAGCGAAGGATAAAATTACAATACAATCAATGGTTAACATCCGTCTCTGCTTACAAGACTGTTGACTCGACTATAATGATTCTGTTTTATTCTTTTCTGCGATTACTGCAACTGATATAAACTTTAAATATCGTTTTTATATAAATAACATGTCTAATGTCTATGATAAACTATGGCCGTGACATGGCTTTTAATTTAAGCTTATAGTTAAGATAATAAATAGTTAAGTTAGTAATCATCATCATTAACAGAGCCAACCCTAAGTTAGGGGTGACTGGGCCATATACAACTACGCTGGCACAGTGCGGGTTGACTTCACACATATCTTTGAATCTCTTCTCAGATATGTTCAGGTTGCATCGCGATGTTTGCCTTCATCGTAAGAACGCCGGATAAATGTACATATGTAAATAGAAAAACACATAGGTACTTTGGGTATTCGTACTCCCGACTTACAGATTGGAAGTCAAGTGCTTAACCGCTGAGCCACAGACACTCTTAAGTAATATAATATAATAATACGGTATGTAATTGTGTTTCCTCAAATATGTCAGAGTGTTTGTTGACAAGATACTATAACATCCGGCAGTCACTGTCTATCACAGGAAGAAAACCCCTTGCTGTTATAAAAGCAGGATGTGTCCTATTAAAAAAATCAGAGGAAGTGTCTGTGGGTACATTACTCTGTGGTTACTTATCGTTGTTGTGTTGAAATTTATTGTATTTACTAATTAACAGATAGCCATACGCCGGTCACGTGAGCCCGTGCTCTGCCCTTTGGCCAGACGACCTTATTGATAGGGTTTGTCTATGTCCTCTCATAGTGAACACAACGACATAAAACGATCACAGTATCAAAAACACCGTAACAGACTAAATTTTTTACATTATCTGTATAAAAAAATAAAAATAAAAAAATTTAAAAATGATTACAGTGAGCGTGCTGATTAAGAAAAAAGTACACTTTTAATGTGGCTTTTTTATAGAATAAGATTCATTACATGAATAAAAAAACTATTTAGTGTAATAAAAATTATTTATTTTTTAGGATATTATATTTAGCGTTAGATTAGATAGTTCTGCAAAATATTCTACTTTCATTTAGCACACCGTTTGCTAAGCCATTAGCTATATTGACGACTCAAATATTAATAACCAATAGCGTAGCTATCACATCAAGTAATTGATAGTTCAGTTGATACAAGACACGTTATTTAATAAAATTATATCAGTTTTCCTTAATGTGCAATAAATAATTATTATTACGTTAATGTCTTGCAAGTGTTTATCTGTCTTGAAGTTAATGCTCTTTGTTAACGGCAGAAGGATTATTTATTTTATTTTATCACTAGGAAACATTGAAAGAAATTAATTTTCTTACCTAAAAATAAAAATGTTTTTTCAATAATTCAAAAGTTAAAATAATTATAGATATAAAGTTATTTTATTTTTATATAATGTTTTCCTTTACCACAGAGCGCTTCGTAAACTGATATAATTACCACAAGGAAGAAATACATCTTGATTGTAAGAATTAATTAATTACGTTGCATAACATATCGCAGACCACGTTTTTCTAGCACGTGTCTTATATGTAAACCAATAACAGATAATAAAAGTTATTACCATTAATATCCTCGGGGTGTACTTAAACGTAATGGTTACAAGATTACATTTTCAAGAAAATCTGCTGCTGAAAATGCTGTTCTAAATTCAAAAACAGCTTGGCAAATTTTATCTTAACTTTGACGGGAATGAAGCTAATGCTGGAGGAAATTATATTTTTGTTTAATTCTGCGCCGACGAAGACGCGGCCGACTGCTAGTATTACAACCGAATTGATTTTCAATAAGATTAACTAGTAAAATAAAAAGCGATTTGCTAAGTAATACTTTTTTTAAAGTGTCCTTCATGAAACATTGTGATGTATCACGCATTCTTGAATTGAAATTTACCAAGAGTTTTACACGGATCAATTATTGTTACTCTTCGATTACACAACTGTAGTAATTAGTTCATTGTAGATTTAAATTATTGTTAAACTATAAGATAATCTATGTGCGCGTGTTAATCTGACCTTAGTTGTTTATTTAGCTGATTCATTGATGCAGCACATGATCGCTGATTGCCGGCTATCGGCCGCTTAGACACGTCTAGCAGTCAACAACGAGTAGCGTTATTTTGATATTTAAATGAGAGTGAATTAAGTTTATATTATCCCTCATACTCATAGCGAGTAGGTTGCCTAGCCTCGTTTGAAACTTATGTTAAAGCATTCGGGAGATACGAACGCGTAAAAGAAATGTTGTAGGGGTGAATAGTAAAGTCATTTTCTACATAAGTAGTGATGAAAATCATATATTTCACTCGTATGTATAGATCTAATCACCTACACACTAAAACTACAGAAATAATATCTATGAAACTTAGCCAACACTATTTCAAATAATTAGGTGGTTATTTTAACTTCACGGAACACGGAAATATTGAAAAAATTATATTATCTGAATAAAAACAATGAAACAATGATTTATCAGTGTTATGTATAATACGTTATGTTTATATTCTGAACACACAGATTTATTACAATTTGCTTAAACTATGGTAACTTAGAAGACCAACACAATCACTCGTTATTACAAAAAAAAGTAAAAAAAAGAAAAACAGAAACTCATTTACAAAATTTCAGACCTCCATGTAAACTGTAGACAATGGGGTCGTGGAAATTAATAAAAAAAAATATTTTGTTTTCAAAAAAAATCCAAACATTTACAATTGAATAATTTTTGAATTCTTAATGCTATTGTTTTTCGGAATTACAATAAAAAGTACTAATTAACGAAACTGTAAAAATACATAGTAAATTGGCATTTATTTGCGGTACTTACAAAATTCCAGCCAGTCAGATAGGCCACCCTGTATGTGTATAAAGATTGAATTTCCAAATCAGGACTGTTCTTGAGCGCAGACTCCATTTTGAAAGCGAACAAGGAAACGTAAACATGGTGTAAAATTGAAAAAATATGCAAAACCGTTTTCCAGTACAATCTCGCATCACTTCTATCAAAAAGTTTCTCGTTTTCCGTTATTAAAAAACATAGTATGTTGTACAAAATATTACTATCTCTCCATAAATCTTCCATTTTTAATTATTATAATTTATTTTTATTATATAATACTAAAATACGAACTATTATTAAAACTTAAATTACAATTATACTAATTGGTCGCCCGAGGCGATTTGGGCGACTCTGTCGTAAATAGATTTTGTTGACGGTACATGCAAGTTCTGTCTGTGTGGACACATCAATAATTAATTTACCCTAAAATATTATTTAATTTGTTTTTTAATTTAACTTTAAATAAAAATTAAATATCAAACTCTCCATTGCTGACTTGTGTTTATTTTTTTCTCCTTTTATTTTTATTTTTAGTTCCCTTAAATTCTCCAACCTTAACAATTAGCGACAAAACGAATAGAGATAATTGAAATTTAATGACAAAATTTGTTTTCCATGTAATCATTTTACCTATAAATATATAAATGCTATCCGCTTTGTATGTTATTCATATACTTTCCAATTTCAAAATTACTTCGATTTTATGACATTAATAAATTTATACTATCACATATAAAACTCCCAAAAGACTCGTCAAATGTTCTTCAAACATGGCAACCCCATGATATCAATGTTGGGCAACTTGCTACGGGCAGACAACACGCTCTTTGTCCCCGCCCTTATCAGGGAGACGTGATAACACGGTATTCCTCGTCGCGTCATGCCTCGAGACAATTATAATCTAAACATAATTCTAGTCTTACTTTCAGTTTCCACTGTTGTAATACATGTGTAATAACAATATTGGCAACACTTATTTTCTTTGGAAAAGAGTTTTCATTTCTTGGATACGCGTTAAGACATTTACTGTAAGAATAAAATTAAAAACAAAACACAAAACAATTACTTATTTATAGTTTACTAGATGTAGCCCGCGGCTCAGCCCGCGCGGAAATTAACTTCATTAGTAGCCTATGTGTTTTTCCAAAGTATATTCTACGTCTATGCCAAATTCAAGGAGATCGATGCAACCGTTCTGGACACACCTTCTAACAAACATCCATCCATCCAAACATTCGCATTTGTAACATTAACAAGATTGAAAATTTTATATAAAAATTGCAACTAAAAGCTGTTTTTATCGAGAAATTATATCAGAAAATTTTAGTGTTGTTTTTGTTGTAACAAAATTAAGCTACCTTGATTTAGATAAACTTGTAGTGAAAAAGTTCCCCGTAATTAATATTACAAAAATATTTAACTATTAATGATAAATCTGAACAACTCACCATATTCCAGTGTGTCATATAGTAAGGTACATTTTCAACGACCAACATTAACTCCTCTCCAACCACTTCCATCTGTTCGATTCTGTGTACAGTCTCTATACCGTACCAACTGACATAACACAGTAGTAC